GAAATTTCCTAAGCCGCGCGGTCACAATTTCATCAAAAATCTGGCGTTCTGCAATTCACTCAAAAACGGTGCCAAACTGTTGCAAACGATCCCCTGAAATGTTTTTCGGTGGAAACAGATGGGTTTTTATCATCGGAAACAGAATTAGCCCTCGACGTCTCAAAAACATTTTTTGAAAAATTCCCTAAGCCGCGCGGTCACAATTTCATCAAAAATCTGGTGTTCTGCAATTCACTCAAAAATGGTGTCAAACTGTTGTAAAAGATCCCCTGAAAGGTTTTTCGGTGGAAACAGATGGGTTTTTATCATCGGAAACAGAATTAGCCCTCGACGTCTCAAAAACATTTTTTGAAAAATTCCGTAAGCCGCGCGGTCACAATTTCATCAGAAATCTGGTGTTCTGCAATTCACTCAAAAATGGTGTCAAACTGTTGCAAAAGATCCCCTGAAAGGTTTTTCGGTGGAAACAGATGGGTTTTTATCATCGGAAACAGAATTAGCCCTCGACGTCTCAAAAACATTTTTTGAGAAATTCCCTAAGCCGCGCGGTCACAATTTCATCAAAAATCTGGCGTTCTGCAATTCACTCAAAAATGGTGTCAAACTGTTGCAAAAGATCCCCTGAAAGGTTTTTCGGTGGAAACAGACGGGTTTTTATCATCGGAAACAGAATTAGCCCTCGACGTCTCAAAAACTTTTTTTGAAAAATTCCGTAAGCCGCGCGGTCACAATTTCATCAAAAATCTGGTGTTCTGCAATTCACTCAAAAATGGTGTCAAACTGTTGCAAAAGATCCCCTGAAAGGTTTTTCGGTGGAAACAGATGGGTTTTTATCATCGGAAACAGAATGAGCCCTCGACGTCTCAAAAACATTTTTTGAGAAATTCCCTAAGCCGCGCGGTCACAATTTCATCAAAAATCTGACCTGATGGGCTAACATTGAACATGGTGAGTCACAAATTGTGTGGCGTATCAGAGAAGATGAAAGGTTGAGCAGGGAGAGGCTGGACGAGGTAAGACGCATTTGCCGGAGTTCATTTCGAATCCTCCCTAAAATTTGTGCTGTGGCTCCCAGCCTTTCAAGTTTTTGATGAAGATTGTATCAGGTTGTTGGAGCCCATGCCAGGAGTTCACATTGCTAATAACTGTAAAGCCCGCATCGTAAATCAGCTTTAATGAGCAGATAATTGCAGTCTCCGGCAGCCTTGGAAGCAGCCTTCGACTTACTGGTTTTCCGCTAGCTCACATCCAGTTGTATTTCTACTTCTACTACCTTTTATTATCTTTTAAGCACTGCTATTTTAAAAGACTCATAATGATGGGCCAAGGCAAACGCCTAAGGGATTGTGACGAGACTCTGCCCTCCCCAAGAGCCAAACAATTAAAAATCGACCCCCCCGTGTCTGACAAACGGAGTGACCCCATTGAACTCTGCTATAGGGTGAAAACTCAGAACCGTTTCTACCCTCTAATGTCTCCAGAAACAACGTCAACACCAGAGGAATTATTTTTTCCCCAGACTAAAACTGTGGACGGCAAGCTTGGAGGAAGAGGGAGTGTCCCATTGAGGGTGGTGCAGGACGCTGGAACTGAGGACTGCGCAAGACAAGAACAACATGAACATCTCCATCTTGTGGTCAGAACCCTTAATTGCATATTCAAGAAGATTGATGTGCTAGCCTCCCAGTTATGTAACTTCGAACAGAAAATGGATAACTTCTGGTCAAAGTTTAAACCAACTGTAGATACGGGGGAATTGAAGTGCCAGAGGTCCTTGCCTTCTACTAAAAAAAGAAGTGTGATCCCTAAATATAAACCAAATCCTGCACTGAAACATCAAGCATTGTCCCTGCAACCTAAGAAAATCTGCCTAAACATCGGGGCAGGGTCACCAAGGTGGCTTACTCTGAGTGGGGTTAAAAAGCACCTAAGCAATCTCCTAAACATAGAAATCTCACAATGTGATCTCATTGCAGTATTACCTTTGAACCAGCACCTCGGGCAACAGAAAGTGATGCTTGCGTTTTACTCTCCAAGGATCCCTTCAGCTATCATCAGGCAGAAACCACTCTTGGCAAGGTACGATATCATCCCAACAAGAGTTTTTATGGATAGCATGATCCACCCCCTCCTACTTGCTGGTCACGGTGCGGAGTGGACTCTGTCGGAGAGGTCGGGAGTACCTCGGGACATCGAGCCTCCTCTCCTGGAGGATATCCATCCGCACCGAAACTGGACTCACCCTACGTCCCCACGAGCTCTAAAGAAACCCACTGGCGCAAGTAATTCTCTGACCCCGCCGGAGGAAAGAGAGCTTTTAGCCACCTTTGGCGACCTTCCACCGAGAGAACAACAAGAAATAATTGATAGACTAGAAGTACTTAATCATCAGCTCATACATGTCCAGAAGAACGGAAAAGTCCTGCCCACTTTTCAGGATAACTCCGCCAGCTTTTCGGAGTCGTGGTTTAAGGAAGCAGGAAGTCTTCCATACCTTAGTCCAGCTCCTAAACCCATGCCTCCCCCACTTGTGGGCAAAACCCACCGACGCTTGGCAGAACCAGGTTTTGCCTCTCAAGCTGGCCCCTCATCCCAACTCTTGATAAATTTTGACTCGCCCTCCAAGAGTCCCCACTGAGGAGTGTAACCCAGAGTTCCTTCCACCAAAACAACTCCTTACCATCTAATCCATCAATGCCGGAACTGGAGTCCTCATACTCCCTGAGCAGCATAGACCCGACATACAAACGGTACCAGTACGCCGAACATCCCCTGTACCTTTGCCAGCATTAGGTCAGGGAGTGTCCCACCTACATCAAAAATGGCCCGGATTTGATTGAAGACCCGACCGGACATATAAACCAAATGGTTTCATCGGCGATCTTTAGACCTTGCGGTGGGGCAGTCTCAGCAAATCCTATGGAGTTTCCCACTGAAGTGTCCGCCCTTGGGATAGCCAGCGGGAGACCCGTTTTGTCGCCCCAGTCAGAATACCTCACTACCAACTTCAAGACTAGGTACCTTCAGCAGGTGCCTGCTATGCAAAGTAAAATAACTGACTTTTTCGTGGGGTCTGCCTTGCCTCCAAAGGACTCCCATCCCTCCCCGAAATGACAACGAATTGGTTACAACAGGAACTCCCCCCTATCAGTCCTCAGTTGGAACATTGCGGGCTGGAGGGGGAAAAAACTTGACCCAGAATTCTTGGAGTATATTAACCTGTTTCATATCATCTTGTTCCAAGAATCGTGGGAAGTAGAGAGAATTGATCTAAATGGCTTTGAGCTTCTAGAACTCCCTGCCTGCCCCTCCCTGAAAGGAGGCCGCCCTAAAGGGGGCCTAATAATAGGCATCTCCCTCAACTTACATTCTAAATTTACTCTAGTACAGGCCTTGCCTCCTTACGCTCTTACCGGGCTGATTGCGGGGGAAAAGATCTCACTTCTAGTTACAAATGTTTACTTGCCACCCGGGGGTTCTTCCTCTGAACTGGGCTCTAAATGGGGCTCGCTAGAAGAGCATTTGCTCTCATGCTATGTCAAGTTTCCTAACACCCCGGCCATAATAGGTGGCGATTTTAATGCCCGCACAGCAGCAAATTGGGACTCGCTGACCAAAGCCAAATGGTGGGTTACCCCAAACCTTGATAATTATGATCTGGAACATATCATGAGGAGAACTTCTAAAGACCAACGAGTTAATGAGGCTGGAGTATTCCTCTACCAAATGGCCATCCGTTTAAATCTGGTCCCCCTAAATGGCACATGCCTCCCTGATATTCCAGGGGATTTCACTCACCTGAGTGTTAAATCAAACAGCGTCCTCGATTACCTGCTGGTCTCCAGTGATCTACTTAAGTGTATTTCCACCTTTAAGATCGAGAATGTACAATCTAGTGATCATCTTCCCCTTGTAGCCAAGCTTTCCCTGAATTGGCAGTTGGAGGCCTATAGACATGCGACCCAGATGGTAACCAACGTATCTCTTCAAGTAAGAGGAATCAAATGGTCGGAGACCCAGGCTCAAAGGTATCAGGAATTCTTTCAAAAAGAAATCCTCGGGCCCCATCCCTACATAGGCTCTGCCTCAGACGAGCATAGCATAGTGTTGAAACGCTTCCACCATCATACGACTGATCTTACGTCCTTCTTCAGGTTACCACCCAAAATATTAAATCGAAGCGAGTATACTTACGGTGCCCCTGGTATAACTCTCAGTGCAAACAAGCAAGACAGCGCCTTCGTGCTATATATAATGTATATAAGACCTCCGATGCATCTACTCTGCCAGCTAGTTATGCACAAGCCAAGCAAGTTTATAAACGCACGCAGAAAATTGCCAAACGTGAGTGGCAACATAATCGCTGGCAGGCCTTG